ATACTTAAATGTTTAAATTCATATGCATTGCTAATGTTATGATATCCAAATCATTACTATCGCATGGAATGTTTTATAGAAGATGCAGATAATTTGCAATAACGGTAACTATTTGCATCGGATTTCAATTTAGTGAGTAGCGAAAGCAACATGAGGTATATTACATGTTGTTTTTAGTTATTGTGCGGCGCAAATCTTGCTCCACTTCAATATATGCAATATCTAAACTTATTTTTTTCAGTTTATTAAAAATAAACAATAAATATGCTTTAAAATTGATATGTTAATAAGTGTTCTTATACTTCCCAGGCTAATTAGTGGCCCTATTCTATTTATTTTTTAATTGTTAACTTTTAAATACACGCGCTATCCGTCACTTTAATAATCGCTCCAAATATGGCATCAAACACCATTAAACTTGGCTTGCATTTCGCAATGTCTTGTTAGAGCGTTTATATAGGAAGAAGATTAGTTACGTTTAGTTCGACTATTTGAACACACCTCATTTACAGTTAACCAATTCGTTAAAAAAATCATTTATAGCAAAAAAATATGATTAATTATTCTCGTTTTAGACTTGTTGTTATCTCATTTGTGTCTCCGTCGCCTCGTAATTGTTGTAATGTTGTGACAAGTTAATTAATTTTTGCTAAATTATACCTCCCGATGTTAGAGTCTTTTTTTGTCGTTTTTTTCGTCTTCATAAATTTTTATTGCAATATAAATCTAAGTTTTCTCATTAACGGTTTGCTTATATAGTTACTGTTAATTTAATTACAAAGGTTGACATTGCTTATGCATCTTCTCCGCATTTTTGATACCTAATACCACTAAATGTGTTACTTATACATATACTTCTGCTGTATTTATTTATTTCTGATTTATTCATTTGTAATTAGGTGATCACAGGGGAGGGGGGAAATCAGTTGAAATGTAAACGGCTGTCTAAACAAATGATCCCCCCATATGTTTGATAGGTACCTCACAAAGTAGCGCTCTAGCTAGATCATATGAATATTACGAAACCGGATACACACGTACAATTATAATAGATAAAAAATACGCAGTGGGCGAAGTTCACAAAAAATGTTAGACTTCCCGTGCTCTTCCACCTAATCCTGTGGGACGAGCGATCATATAGAACAGACAATGTTTTACAATATTTTGGAAGGACTAAAAATATCCGATTGGAGATTTGGCCTATTTTATCTTTTTAAAAACTTTCTTATCAAAATTATATAATGATACTCAAAGGGTTCGTCTGTATTTAAAGTTAGTAAGGTATAATTTAGATAGTATACGATTACTAATTGAAAGTACTAATTTAAAAAATATAAAATCGTGACAATCATCAGTCTGAAATCGTAGACCTTCCGTAGGTACTAGTTTTCAAGTTTATTCAGCTTTCTGATAAAAAAACCCTCTTTTATTGTTGTTAGACCCCTGGGTATATTTAAAGAATAAGTTAATTTCATTTTGTTACAAAATTGTGTACGTAAAACATTAAAAAAATTTACATGCTCATCTGTCATTGTTAACAGCTCTTGAGACAAAAGCACAGAACCAACTTTTTGTGAAACCTAAATTTTCTCCGTAAATATGAAAATTGAAAAATAAATAACATTTATTACCATAAAAATTAAGAGAAGATATAGCAAATTGTCAAGTATTTTGGTAAGGAAAAATTATTAAACGCCAGCAAAGTGGAGTACCAAATAAGATCTTTAAACGGGCGCAGAAAAGATTCGTGTATGGGAAACTAATTTGAATGAACTTCGGAATCATCTCCATAAAGTTTACCTTTCTTGGGCTATGTTCACACAGGACGCTATTGCACGATGGGCGATGTGATACTTTCCGATGCGCTGCGATTAATCTCAAGCAAATTTCCTTGGATTGTTAGAACATTGTAGGAAATTTATAAGGCGTCAAAACTCACTGTATTTTATAGGCGGGCCCAAATGAATCCATTTCATTAGTAAATAAAGTGTGCATTTTGGGGACCATCGTGTCTGTTTGCGCGGCGATTCCGTTGTCCGCCTGCCTGCTTTTTTATAATCTTAGAAATGCGGACGAAAGTTTCAGGTGTCTAAAATTGTGGAGGCGGTGTTTTCTTGAGCATAGAAGTGGAAGAGAACTGTATATATTTTAAGGGCGAATTTTCTTAAAGGGTTTTTTTCGTTCGAGTTTAGCTCAAGCAAATACCTAGTGTCGTTCTGTTGAGAAAATTTTGCTTTAAGACGAATCCGTTTTCTTGAGTAGTAATTTTCGGAGGATTTTGTGGTGAAGAACGTATCCGGGGGAGGCAGTGCCGGATTAACCGTGTCAGTTCAGTGTTCAGTGTCCTAAAACGATGTCCCTTGAGGTAATTTTTCAACCTCGGAAAGAGGAAAAAGTCACAAGAACGACTGAAGTCGGGCGAATAAGGAGGCTGAGAAGCAACAGGAAATGTTCTTACTGGTCAAGAAACGGGTCACTGAAATTGCTGTGGGACAACGCGGATTGCCATGAATTATGATGCACCAACACTCAGTTGTTTTTGATGTTGGGTTTCGCACGGATAACTCCTTTTCTGAAGTCTTTAAAGAACCTCTCAGTAAAAGTGTTGTTTAACCGTTTGGCCTTGAGGCTCAATCCCTTTGTGCACGGTGCCTTGATATGGCTATCGAAAAAGCAAATCAGCATTCCTTTGATCTGGGATTTGCTCATTCTTTTTTTGGCAACACATTCACTTGTTTCTTGAGTGCGACCGCCATCTTGAATTTTTTAATGGCAACATAGGTCATCTTATACGTCATTAGAAAGCTTATTTTGTTTCTCTTTCTTAATATACCTTAATGATGTATATATTAATTTAGAGAGTACTGCAGAAAAATTAGACAAACGTTTTAATTTTTTTTCTTGGTGGGTGCACTGGATCTCTAGTCGACGTGGGGTCCCTAGACAGTTGCCTACTCTGCCTAATGGTTAATCCGGCACTGGGGGGAGGGGCGAATTTACTTGGAGGAGAGTTTTCTGGGCGAGCTTACTGCAGAGAGAGTTTCTTTAGATGCACACTCTCTGAGATCAATTTTGTTACCGTTATTTCACAGGCGAGTTTTCTTTAGAATAATTCAGAGCCATCTCCCAATAGAAAATTGTATTTTTTCTTTTGTAAGGCATCAAACCCCACTGTACAGCGCCTTCTGGCGTATTAATCGCCCCTTGGGGAGTGAGAAGACACCCTCAAATTGAGTTATGTTTTTTTGAGCATAGAGGTAGAGGGGAGCTCTAATATTGGATATAGCAGCTATTCCGACAGCGAGTTTACTTAAAGACAATTCTTCGGGAGCTTTTCTCGAATGTGCGCGAATCAAATACTTCGTGAGCGAGCATTCCCTTGTAGTTTATCGGCGATAAGCCTTGTGAGGGCGTGTTTACCTGGAAGTGATTTTTTTGGGAACGTATTACGAAAATAACTTCCGAAATCAACGACGGATGGGGCGACTGTAAGATTGATTTTGCCAAATGAACAGAAGGAAGTAGAGACATTATTCCAAGGGTTTGTCTTAACCAGGGTCTTAACTAAATTAAACTAAAATTTTTAAAATGGTCCAGTAGGCCCTGGCTTTATTACGAAACTCTCTTGTTTTTTATTGATTTTGACAGTTCGCATTTGGAAAATTTGCGTATGTTTATAAAATAAAGGTTTACTATTGCACCCTGTAGATCGGTAGCGAAAATTTGGCGGACCTACGTTTATATGAACTTTTATAGTCATAAAATGAGTCCCTTTTGTATGTACATAATATTTATGAGCACCCTGTATATGTTTCGTATTGCAGGTCAATATCTGTTTCTAATTTACATTAGTATAAAGAATGCATAAAAGAAAACATCAACAGGGGTGGAGTAGCCCGGGAGGGCGGGTGGCGATTTCCACCTGGCCTGTACGTCATAATGGCCCGTTGGAAATTTATAAGTATGTGCTGTATTTAGTTTCTTGCACTATTAATAAATTATTAACACGTTTCTCTAATTGGGGTTGATGTTAGGTTGTTAAAAAATTCTGTTTTAATTGTAGTGTTTTACAATGAATTTATCATTTTTTGTCGTAGCATGAAAGTGCTGAAATACAATGATGGGCGACGCGCCTCGTTTGGGTTGTATATTTTGGTACTTTTAATTATCAGCTGCAATTAAAAAAAAACTGTATTGTAATTGATTTCCGAAAAAGGAGTACTAAAATGAAGCAAAAAAATGTTTTTGTGGTGCACCGCAGAGCACCCCCTCCCCTCCGCACCCTTCATTACTACACTGATACTTTAATGGCCCGTAACCTATGCAATTCCAACTGGCCCGTAAGTACCCAGTCCGCCCATGAACATCAATCGTAGCGTGTCTAAGGGTCGAGAAGGATTAAAAAGACTACTCCAAGTAAATAGTCTGTAAATGAGAATGCAATGTTTTCCAACTTTTTTATCGAAATTATCGCAAAAATGGGGTCTTTTGAAAAAATTAAAGACAAACAGATTTTAAATTTAAAAGGGCAATCATCGCTGTTGTTATTGGGAGTCAGTAAAAATGTTTGACGTTAGTATTTGTGCAAATGCACATCCTTAAACAATACAACACTCTGGAGAAGTGCATAACTGCATTTGGATAAAATATTTTACTAATTTATCACCCTATTTAGTATTTTCGCAATAAGTATCTATAGGGTGGTCAAAAACACATTATCGAAAAGGACAAGCATTTTACAATTACCATTACCGAAAATAACAAAGAGGCAAAGTGTGCATACATTTCTAATAATTATTGTAAAAGTTACTGCTAAATTGAAGTCTAAAATTTTCTGATCAATCGAAAAATAATCTTTAAAATTCCACGGTTCCACAGTTTTATGCTAGATATTGATCTTAGATTTAACTACCTATAAAAACGTACATAACTGCACTTATGTATAACTAATGAATTCATTGTAGTTTAAATTTTTCCATTTAGCAATAGTCTAATCGTTTAATAAATGACGGAAAGATTTTAGAATTATAAACTTGATGATCTAAGGAGTATATAAATAATGAATGATAAAAATTAACTTACCACATGTGCGTGATTAGGATCGCCGTCTCTAGGCCTAAGACCAAGCTGGTTATAATGGTGTAAACCAGAAAGGCCGCCGTAAGGATCCGTGAGATATTCTAAGTGCTGCTGGGGAGGTGGACTCGGTGGATGATGGAACGGTGGTGGAAAGTATGGGGGTTGGAAATCGGGCTGAGGTAATTGATGTTGCATTGCTGAACTGTGGTGGAGGCCTCCGGAGCCACGGTGTGGAGCTCCGGAGCCACCAGCCCCGTATCCTGGAGAATTCCCGCTTAACGTTAATGATCCGTGACCGCCAGTTGTTAAACGTTCCTAAAACAAAAGAAAACTGTGTAAATTAAACAATGTACGCACATAAAAATTAATTACTTTCATCGCTGCCGAAAACTTACAATGAATCGCAAAAATTAAATCCAAAGCGCACTAAAATCAAATTAAACACGCGAAAGTTACCGCCACCACTTGCGATCGAAAACTCTTCTTAGTGTCGTATGAAATAAGCCGATCAACGGTTCACCACCTTCACTAACAGTAGTAGTAAAGCAATGAAGTATCTTTGGGGGTTGCCTAGGGCCAAAACACGTGGAATCGAATCTTACCGACCATACTCGACTAAAGCTTTGACAAGAAGGGATTAATCTGGGCATTCCTGAACGTATAAATATTTCAATATACAAATTCAAAACTTTCTATGGGGAACATTACTCATTAAGTAATTATTAGAAAGGGAAACTAAGTATTACATCTAAATAATTAACATTTTTTGAATTTTCTTATATAAGTAGGTAGGTACATAAAGTCTAATTGTATGTAATTAAAAAAATTACTTATGGCGCGAATCACGTTCCACGTGATTATAATTGAAAAATGGCGAGTTACTGCATTATAGGTAGTTAATGGTGGAGCTAAGAAGACGCCGGTTACAAAATTGTCCGATGGAAAGTTGTAAGATTTGCGACAAATAACTGAATGTACTCGATCGATCAGGAATTTGAATACCTATTCTTCCCGTCTTCAACCACTCAGGTTTCCACAAGTGAATGTAGGTATTACATTACATAACGAAACAACCCCAAACATTGCCAAAAAGACACCGAAAATAGTGAGACAAATTTGAATTATAGCATCAGTCGCTGGTTTTCAAAATTAACCGAATCAAGTCGGGAAATTCTTATACATAAAATTTGATGCAAACGTACAATAATTGTGGGAAGTTTGGCCCAATACTCTCAACTGTAAAGAATAAAGTGAGAAAATATTTTATTCTTTTAAGAGGCATATTAATTACAACAAACATTGTATTTCAGCGGTTAAAAACGAAAAATAGCTACGTTGTTATACACTCTACAACATTGACAGAATATTCTAATATGATTAAGATTATTTTGTATAAAAGAGGTAACAAGAAATGTCATGATAGATATCTGAAATCATCAACTTTCCATTTATTAGCACGCTTCAAACGACTCCTTTATTCAAATTTCAAACGATTATTGCATTTTCTAGCAAACAGTAGCTGTACGGGCAGACAAATCCTCCTATTAGCATCTTTTCCACATTAAATGTTTGTTCAGTTAAAGTGAATTTAGCAACATTTTACTAAATATTTAAACATGCCTCAGAATTAAAAAAAATTGATCAGTTACTTGTGCGAATTATTCGCATAAATTGTGAAAGAATTTGTCGCGAATAAAACAGGGTTCCCGGAAAGTCTACCTTCGGAAAACTCGCCTTCGAAGCATTCTCCTCGGGAATATTCATCCCCAGAAAAAGTTTCAATCGAAAATTCATTGGCTACTAAAAAAGTTCGTCAATTCCCTCGAATTTAAAATTAATTGGTGCCCACAATATTAGAATTCATCTACATGTTAGTGTACCTATTTTCAAAGTGGGGGTGCTAGCTTGTCTTGATCCATGAAATTAATAGTTTGAATTAAAATCTAATTTGTACGTTCGTTTCGTTATTGGTAACCTGCATACTTATTAATAATTTATTCTTCCTTACTAACGTGCGGGTGGAAAAAAACAAGATACGCAAAATCCCATACGATTTTCAGTAGGGGAATTTTTTTGTCACTCAACTCGCATTCGGAAACACGACTTTTAATCCGGCTCATATTCAATGGCGCTAATCCTTGAACTTGGAGAACGGTTTCGAATTTTCCAATTATGTTTCCAGTAATAGGTAGAAATGGTCAAGGAACTAACTGATTAAATTTTGGTCAATACTCGTGAACCGGAAGTGACCTTGTCGCTCGTTTTCTATATTGGTGCAGTTTATTTCGCAATTATAAATACATACATTGCGCCTAAACGCCTACATTTCTGTAGGGATTTTGATGCTCTTTAATTTTGCATAGAACAATTTTTTTCCTAAAAGCAATTCTGACTTAGTTACGAGCCAAAAACCATTAATTTCCGGGTTGTCACTTCCGGTTAAAGCATTTCCCGGCCTCAAACATTGGTAAACTTTATTCCATCGTATTCAGCACATTTTTTTCATCCAGAAACATTACATTTGAATCTTAGGGCCACTTTTATTAACAATCTGTGTAGGTATTCGGTAGTTTGTTTGACATTTTTTGAAAGAAATATTTTTACTTTTTCATTAGGTGTGGTAGGCTTTGAAAACAATCGTTTCTTTTGAAATGTCATTTGAATTAAATTTTTGGGATCAGTTTTGACATTTACTGATTGTTAATTTTAAAAAATCCCAGTAGCCGTAGGAACTTTTTCAATACTTTCAGCGGTCACTCAAAAAATTCCGTAGACTTTTGAGATTCGATTATAAAAAAGAGCACTTACTTATCTTGAACGATAAGAGATTTTTGAATGGACACTTGCACATCCAAATTTTTAGATGTCAAAAACTTAGACAGATACGTACGCAAAAGTTAAAGGCGTTTAATTCAGAATAAAGTGGTGAATTTTAAAAAAATAGACAATGGTATGGCATTTACGGAAACGGTGCTATCTTAATATTATTTTATTTAAATTGACTATGGTTCTGAATCACATTTCTATTTCAACTGCAAGTTTAAAAACTTCTAACAATCGGGCTACGTGAATCGCCCTGTATAGGTTGCGGGTACAAATTGTAAATGTATTGACGGACGTATAGCAAAAATTGGCTTGGCTAATTTCGCGAAATTGTTGACAATTTTATGCAGGTATCAAGCGTCAAGTATGAGTAGTAAATTCTGCATCCCAATAGTAAAAGAAGTGCAGCGAATTTTTCTTCGACCCACTTAAATACGAAAATTTCTTTAACGTCACTTGGCCCAATCGTCTGGATGCATTTGATATTAATAATCTGTAAGATGACTTGTTTATTGATATGAGCTGATTTTTAAGTGAAATCGTTCATCTCTGCCATGCTTCCTTTCGTGGTATAAAAGTTGTAATTATCACCAGTCTTGTATAGCGATGAATTCCAGACATTTTGGCATGTAACGCACCAAAATATGCTGAAAAATATGCATTTTATGGTCTAGAATGAAGGCTGTAACAGAGTCTTCTCCATTAAATTCGTAATCTCCTAAGCTGGATTTCTGTTCTTGAATTAACGGTAAGTAGTTGCTTTGTCTGCAAGAGAGGTTTCTTTACCGAAAGCAAAATATAAATCAACATAACCACCCGGGCCACCCTCCATTCTTTCACTTTAAACAAATTGTTATGCTTGTGTGTAAACTGTGCTTTGAAAACTTGCTATATAACGTCGAAGAAGAAACCATTTTTTTCATGAAGAAAGGAATTTACGCCACCATCGCGATTTTGTTAACATAATTTGCATTCTGTGCACGTACCAGATGCAAGCACATGAAGAATATATTTCATCGAAAGTTACCAGTAGGAATTGCTATTCATTTTATTTACGCACTTGATTTTTCCGCTAAACTTTTCATTGGGCCGGGCTTACCAACTCCTTCCCAAACAGTCCTTCCACACACTATCTGCATGTTGATGTACAGGGTTGTCCAAATTAGGCAGTATCTTGTGGAGACACTTTCTATTTTAAGAGAAAAATGGACCTAGGAACTCAATTAAAAATCAGTGGTGCTATCTCTAATCGTTAAATATAAACTTGAAACCTTCCCCATACTACAGTTTAATATTTGAATTCAATACACTGTGACAAACTGTCATGTTGCCAGATTTAAAAATCTAAGTGTTAATATCTCCCCGAAGGAGTATTCTACGGGAAAATTGTTATTAGACTTTTTTACTCAGAAAATAATGCGAAATCCCGTCGTGAAATGTTTTACCTATCCAAAGAATAGTCCTGTATAGGGTGGTCCGTATGAAAAAATGTAGCGTAGAGCCTGTATACAAACTGTGTGTACTGTGTACTCTAACCAAGATTTTGCCAAAATTAATTAGGTTTAATAATAAGAAAGTTATGGGGCATTAAAAAATCGATTAAATTCGAGAAACGCCCCTTAGCAGCCAAACGATTAGAGATGGTGTCAGTGATGTCCTCTTTAAATTTGAGCTTGACACATAGGTCCATTCTTCTCTTAAATTAAAAGGTTTTAACGAAAGAAGCTGTCCAATTTGGACAATCCTATACACAGTAAAGCTCACAGCTCAACAGTGCCCTATAATGGCACCTTATGAAGGGAATACTTTTTTCCAATCTAGAGAACTCTTTCTAAATATATTTATTGATTACTGTTGGACCCGAAATTAAACCTAAACTTTCAAATAGGTACACCACAAAAGTGTTTCGTAAATCGGAAACAAATTTAATGGGGGTGTTTACATTACCATCTATCTACCAGAAGCCAAAAGCTTATTCAAACTATAATCATAACGTATATGGAATCCTCGTAAATTTGCTTTAACAAGTCATAATTTACATTGTATCAATTCGCGTGTGGTCCTAAAGTAACGGTAATCGTTTATGTTTTCACACCATAACTTCAACTAATAAATATTTAAACAAAAATGCAAATGAAATGGCGTTTATAAAGTTTAAAGAGCTCGCGTGTTCCCTTCATTTAAATCTGTAGAAGTGCGTGTAATGGGTTATTTCCTGTACACGTTCCCATTGGCCAAACACTAATCTTTTTCCGGTTAATTAGAGGATAGTTAAGGGAAAGAGGGTGAAGCGATTGCATCGGGATTTTTTAGTTGACAAAACGCGATTTAAACCTGTCGTCATTTTCAATTACCTACCCGGTGTTACATAAGGCGCGTTTACAGGTTATATTTTTTTTGCACTTTGTGGATCTTAATACGTCGCCATCTAATTGAATGTATTCACCGAAATGGTTTCTAATTCGTCAAGGTGCGGTGCGTACATCTAAAAGAAATCCTTGTTACAGCGCTGATGGCTTTTCTACAAGTCAGTCAACGAGAATCTTGTGCTATTATAGGCGAATTAATAGAATACACCTATACCTACATCAGTATGAGAACAGAACATTTAAAAGTTGCATTGTAAACTTTATTATTATTATATATTCAAACACCACCTTAGTAGAGCGCTCTACATTTTCAATTCTTTGAGGGCACCAAAGGTATCACCGGCTGAATTCCTGTGCACAATCCTGACATTACATCTTAAGGGTTGCCCAGTCCAAAGGAGTTTGTGGCAAATTTTGGTTATACCTAATTAATCCGGTATTAAAAACGATTCAGCAGCATCAGTTACTCTGAAACTGATAAACTGGTGTGTCATGTTACATCTCTTTTGGATTAAACAGAAACATTATATTTACATTTAGTTTTACGATACAGGGTGTCGTGGGGCTGTTTTCGGGTAGATAGATCAATTTTAGAAAACCACTCAAACCTTAGCACGTGGACTAGGTACATCTCCTACCATTTTAAATGGCCTGTTATGGCATATTTGCAAGATATCTCACTTGCACAATAGTATACAACAACAAAACGACAAAATTGTTTTTTCGAACGAAACTATCAATTTTCAAAATTCAGCGGAGACAGGGGTATCCAGCAATGTGCCACTTGCCCTAGAATGTCGATTAAAATGTTTGGGTGTTATGAGCACAGCGGTAAGAGTTATATTGTACAACCTCGAACCTAAAGTCACTGACGTTTTCATTTTTCATTTACCGAAAATATCTAGTCCGTTCTCAATGCGCCACCCTGTATATAACTTGATAGTTTCTATGCAAAGAATGAGTGTATATTATGGGGTCATGGGTCAATAACTTATATGAATGGTATTATAAAATAAATACGACAATCACAATCACCTGCTTGTACAAAGATACATTGTTGGTCGTACTATCAAACGATAGTAAAATCTTGTGGTCTTGCTTAACCATGAGAAGGAAATACACATTATTGTATAGTCTAATGTTAAAATATTAATGGAAAGATTTTAATCGTGCTATATTTACGTTATTGTTGCACACCTTGAAGTGGGAAACTGGCTTTCCGAAATAGATCACTGCATCGAAATTAAATAATTTCTTTCTTACACGTAGTTTTACACAAGGATCAAAACAAGATGGTAGGTAACCACAAAAATCTATAACTATTCAGCATCTGGGCAGTTATATTATCATAACCTTAGTATTGTATACCTCAAAACTTTGTTAGAAAGATACATCGGCCAATGTTAATGCACCATGGTGCGGATAGATTGTAAAGCATATTTCAATATCCAATTATTATCCGAGACACGATATCAAAAAATGGATGACAAAATGCTATCAACAATATTAGGTCACATCCACGACTTTTTCATAATTTTTCAGTTTCCATCAGAGATTTTATACAAGATAGCTCATTAAACGCTAAACGTGGATCTTATTTTTTCTATTCACTAACATTTTTAGCGTAACACAACGAAGTTGAGGTAACGTTTATGTGCACGATTTTCGGTTGTCTGTCTGTTCCATCAAGATCTCGGCCCCTGGCCACCTAGAGGCCTAGAGGCTGTTAAGGTCTATATTTGCCCGTTTTGAAACATTTTTTATATATTGGATTGATATAGTGTTTCTCAGGCCAAGACTTCTTTCTCGGAAGTTTTACCCAGAGCTGGGCACAGTTAATCGAAAAGTTAACTTCGTTAATCGTTAATCCGTTATATGAAAAAGTTAACTTCGTTAATCGTTAATGCTTTCGTTTTTTGAAAATGTAACGGAAGTTAAAGTTAATCAGTTAACCGTTAACTGTCAAAAATTTTAAGGTTACATCAGTGAATTAATGGAGGATTCTATTGTAAATCAAAAACGCAACACATTATTTCATTTATAATGATATATTAAGCGTAGATGTAGTATTTTGTATTTATTAATATTAAAATATAATATAATAATAATAATTAATAAATAAAAATAGGTTAGGTTCAGGTGTAAACGTGTATTGTATCATAGCGTTAAGCGTAGGTAGGGCAGGCTAGATAGAGAAAATAAAAACAATGAGAAATATAAAATTTATTGTATTTTAAGTACAGCCATTTTTGTTTATTGCATAAGAAGAATTGTGATGGAGCTTAAGGAAAGAAGAAAAGGTAGCGAAGTACGATGTATGTACCTTACGCCAGAAAATCTTCATCTTGCATAAAGTGGATGTTCCCCTTCATGAACATTAATATGTTGAAAGTTTCATCAGAGAGGGATGATCGTTTAGCCCGCAAAATATCTTTACCCGTGGAAAAAAGACGTTCCACTGCAGCACTAGAGGGAATAGCTGTATTATATTTAATAAAGAGATTTATTAAAACTGCTTCTCCTAGGAAGGCAGCATCCGTAACAGAATCCTTCGACTTCGCATCTAACCAGGTTTTCACTAAAGTCTGAGCTTTACTTTTAAGAGATTTGTAGCCCATCGATTTCTCAGCCGATTTAGTAACAGTAGTGAAGAAATCATCCTCTTCTTCCTCATTATTACTACTTCCACTGATGCTAGCTTTCTCATTTTCGTTGCTTTCGCGCATTTGAGCAAATACTTTCCCCTCCATACACTTCGTTACTGCTGTTACCTTGCTACTGTCATATTTTTCTAGCCATATCAGCCGGAATCTTGGGTGAAAGGCTGCTGCAAGCAGGCATTCCTCATCCTCCATAAGAGGGCCAAACCTTTTTTCTATGCCGGTTAATAAAGCACTGGCCAAAGCAGTACAGTACACAAGACCGCTTGACTGAATATCCTTCAATTTAAATACTGTTGCAGCAACCGTGGGAAGGAGAGACCCGAGATATGCTTGAGCTTCTCCTTGAACTTGATCTAGCGCTCGAGCCACCGGTGACATGACCTGCCATCAAATAAAATCAAATAAATTAAAAATGATTGATTTAATTTAATATTAATGCTAGATATTCATTTGATTACCTTCACATACTCTTTCAATATGGTCACATCTTGATCATTGAAAGTTCGAACCTTCAGCTGAGTCATCACTCTATGAAGGGCAGGTCTTTTTGCTTCTAAAATTGCGTTGAGAACAACAACAGCATCAAACGTTGAGTTCCATCTTGTTGTATTTGGAAGTACCAGCCTCCTGCCCAACTCAGTATTAATGCAATCGGCCGCCACCGTACTACGCGACTGCAAATTCCAAAGAGCGCGTGATTTTGCCATGGCAATTCTGTACGGACCTTTGAAAACAGAATTTTGTAGTGCAGCGTCTGCATCTTTGCTTGCCACTAAGTTAAATGTGTGAGCAGCACATCTCATGTGAACTGGCAAATTATTGAAGTTCTCAAGTGTAACATCATCATCATTGTCGTTATAATTATTATTTTCAGACATAACAAGTACATTTTCGAGTGAAATATACTCTAACTCCTGTTCTTCTGCAGTTTCTGCTAAGAGGGCACTAACGGGATTGTCGAGATTAGAGTCCATATCATGTGATGGTATGATGTCGTCGATGTCTGATAGTGGCAGCGAATTCAGCGATAGTGTATCGGCTGGTATTTCAGAGCCAAATTGAACAAATGCCTTAACAAAATTGCTGCCATTATCGGTGGTAGTTCTAAAATTTAATTATAAATAAAGATATCAATGATAAGTAGGTTTCCAACTAACCTGGTTACTTTTTTGTCAATATGAAACTCGTAGTGTGTATTTATCATTGTCCGGGCGAGTACATCATATGAATGAACACCTTTTAACCTGGTGCAAGTTAACACTGCACGCATTCTCGCTCTGGTAGCAGGATCTAACCAATGGGCAGTCATGCCCAAGTAACTTTTGTTGTGAGCAGACCAGCAGTCAGCCGTTGTAGCCACCCAATCAATTTTATCAAGTATTCTGAAATATACAAAGTTATGCAATATTTCGTACACTCAAATCCTTCAATGGAAGTACTTACTTGATCAAGCGCTGCTTTAACAGAGTGTGAGAATCAGCGATACGCCTGCCTAATGTCCTTCTCGAGATCGTACTCTTGCTAGGGTTCAACGTTTTAATAAGTGTATTAAATGTATCAGATTCGACTACATGTAGTGGAATCATGTTAGTCACAAAAAAGTTTACAATACACCGATTCACACTAGCTTGGGGTACCGCACTTCCAGAAGCTACAATGCCAAACGATTCCCCAATGCTTTGCTGGCGTACTTTCTTTGTTGATGGTGGTGAAAGAAAATGACTGCCACTGCTGTCAGCATTAGAATCGATAGTACTTGTATTTGAAGAGTTTGGCCTCTTTTTTATTTTCCCACGAGTTGACCCGGCCTTTACTATTTCTTCAAACTGTATATATTTAACTGGATGCATCCTCTTTACATGCTGTTTAAGGTTGTTCAAACTTGAAACGTGAGCCTTGATTGTAGATGTTTTAGGCAAACACAGTTTGCACTCGTAAACCAATGTATCCCTTAATCTTGCTTTATACGCAACAAATCCACTTAAATGTGGCCAGGGATTCTGTTGCGGTTCATCACCATCACTAGTGCCGCCGCTTGCAATCTCCGTTTCCGTTTCAATATGAATATCTTGACTTGGTTGTGGTTGCATGATGTAGTATACTATAGTAATTGAAAAACAAGGTTAGGTTTTCACTGTTTACCAATGAACAAATTTTTGTTCATTGCATACACTGTTGCCAACACCAACACAATGCAAATGCAAATCCAGTGCCGTGCATATGGCACGGCGCGCGCCCGCTTTAACTTATCCGAGTAACGGACTTGTTAACGGAAGTTAAATTTAACGGAAGTTAATAAGACCGTTAACAGTTTTTGCGATTAACTTAAAAGTTAATTAGTTAATCAATATGTTAACTTCGTTAATTAACGATTAACGGATTAACTTTTTTCTGCCCAGCTCTG